AGGAGCAGGCACAGCGGCTTCATAGCTCCTCTCCCAAGCCCCTCCGGCAGCAGTAGCTGCCGTTAAGAGAGCCGCCCTTTCAGTTTCACTTTCCCCTAAAAGGCAAGTACCGGAATCCCCTTCTTAGCAAGAAGCACCAGGGAGAAAAAGTAGGTGAGATCCCAGTGCCTATACACAAGGGAGGATACTTTGTTCCCTCACCCCACCCCCATGGAGTCCTTCCTCACTTCCCAAGTCCAGACAGACCCTCCCAGGCCCTGCCACACCAAGTCCCCACTCCTTTCCCTGGACCCAGTTCTTCGGCCACAGAACCAAGGAATGTCCCACCTGGAAAGAGATTTTGGAGTCACTTAGTCCAACCCCCTAGTTTTGGAGAGGCACAGAGACCTGCCTTCCCCACATACCTAGCCCCACCCTTATCTCTTCCTCTTCCTTGTCCCCCATTAGCAATGAAACACAGGTGATTGTCAGGTCAAGTGAAGAGACCAATAAATATTTTAATCACCGTTAAAAAAAAATAATAAAATTAAAAAATAAAAACCTTACACTCCCAAAACTGGCTCCCTCCATGTCCTTGAAAGCCCCTATATGTGCATACCCCTTGTGGACTTACTGCAGGGATGGAGTTAGATGGGAAGAAATGGATATAGGTTTAATAATCCTGTAAAGGGGGAGAGGAGATTCGGGGAAGAAGGAATGAGGTGGCAGACTAGTCACCACAGTGACACACACAGACTCCAAGCACAAACTACAAATGGGACCACCTGCCCTGGAATCCTTGGGGATTCTGGACATACCACTACCCATACACAACCTTCTCCAGGTACTGATAACCTGGGAGGCTGGGTCTTAAGTGTTATTTATCTACCTGTTCCCTCTAGTGGAGCGGAAAGTAGAAGGCTCACAGTTCCAGGGTTTCCCCTATGTTGGGGAATGGAATGGGGTTAATGGAGGGGGAGGGAGAAGAGAAGAACTGTCATGAATTTCCCTCTTTATATACAAATCCATGGAGGAGAGGGCATATTATCTGGGATCCACAGTCCCATATCTCCTTTCCCCCAAACCAAGGATTTTTGGAGGAATCAAGCCCCTGGCCCATTCTCCTACTCTTCCTTTCTAGGGGTATCAGCCCAACAAATGAGGATTGTGGGAATTACTCAAGCTGCTTTCTCCAGCTCTTGGATCCAATCATGAGGGAATAGTTTGTTAATGTACACCTCCACTGCCATTGTAACCCATCTCCACCTTGTGAGTTCCTGGTGGGGACCAGACCCTCCTGTTGGGCGGAGAAGTGGTCCCTCCTACCTCATCTCCACTGCCACCCCCAGGAGGCTCTCTCTTGGGGAGCCCCATTGTCCCTGTAGGCCCCCCTCCCCCAAGGCGATGCCTCCGTTCACAGTGCCCTCGATGCCGCATGAAGCTGTCCCTCCACATGAATTTCTTTCCACACACACCACACTCATAAGGTTTGAGGCCTGTGTGGGTCTTCATGTGCTCTGTCAGGTGGTGTTTCATCTTGAATTTTTTGTTACACACAGGACAGTCAAAGGGGCGCAGATTCAGATGCATATTCACATGCCGATCCCGCATGCTCTTGTGTGAGAAAGCTTTCCCACAGTGACAAAGGAAGATCTTGTTCCCATCCCCCCCACCACTTCCCCCAGAACCACCACCACTTGCAGACACTCCCAAGTTGCCCCCTCCTGACCCTCCCAAGGTCACAGCTCCATGTTCAGCCTGGCTTCCGGGAGGCTGGGCTGAGGCCTGAGAAGAGGAGGGGAAAACTAAGATTTGGTTGCCCTGCATGTCCAGGGGCAACAAAGGGCGGGGTTGGTGGGAGGCAAAGGAAGAGGGGGCTGGTCCTCCAGGGTCATCCAGTCCTGGCCCAGCTGTCCCAGACTCATAAGGGCCAAAGTCCTCAGATGATTCACAAAAATTCACTTGTTCCTCACCCTTGTCTGCAGGGCCAGTCAGTGTCCGCACATCAGTAATACTTAGGCCAGGGTCAGAACTCCCACCTGGTGGACCCCCTGAAGCCCCACCTAGCTCCTCATCCTCATCATCCTCGCATGTCAGTACCAGGTCTTCCTCCTCCTCCTCTTCCTCCAGGTCTGGGTCTTGAGAGGCAAGAGGAGCTGGGGCAGGGCAGCCTCCCCCTCGTTTAACATATACCCAGTGTTTCTGAGGCACCATGCTGGGGGGCACATAAGTAGGGCGCCGTAGACCAGCCCCAGGAGCTACCACCCCAACTCCATCCCCTCCATCATCACTCAGCTCATCTGCCTCTAGCAGCAGCTTCCCAGAAGTGCCACCCCCACTGCCCACCACAGAAGTGGGGAACAGAGGGCCTCCTCCACTCCGTCTTTCTCCTCCCCCCATAGAAGAGGCTGAATATGCATCATGAGAGGAAGATGAGAAATCACCAGAGTCTCTGGGGCTGAAGTAATTGCTGCTGCTAGGGGACTGATTCTCACTAGCCCTGCTAGATGAAGGAGGGCGGCCAGAGCCTGTGGCTGTGGTAGCTGGTCCTGCTCCCCCAACTCCTGTGGGGCCTCCTGCCCCAGAGGCGACAGCTGCTGTGGTAGCCATGGTGGTGGTGGCAGCTGCAGAGGCCCGGCCCTCTCGAAGCAGCTCTGTGCACTTGTCCACAATATGCCACATCTGGAGCACTGAGCCAACAGTGAGAAAGTTGACAATGTCTGCAGCGGCCATGCTAAGTCGGCCTGTATAGGCAGAGGCTAGAACAGTCTCAAAGGCCCCAGGGTCCATGACGCTGGGCAGTGAGATTGAGGTCATGCCCTTGAGCAAGACTTGGTCATGGAAATAAGGGGAAGAAGCAGCCAAGACAGCCCGGTGAGCCCGGAATTCACGGCCCTGCACTCGTATCGACACGTCACAAAGCTGCCCTTGTAGCCGCTGCTGGTTGAGGGACTCTAGCAGTGCACTGGTCACTTCAGGGAAGGACACGTGCACCACAGCCGCTGCTGGCAGTGGCAGTGGGGGAGGCGCCAGCGACATAGGCAGGGGTAGAGGGGCCCGCTGGGGAGAGAGTGGGGATGGCTCCATTGCAAGGAAGAACATAGGGAAGGGGGCACCCCCCCCCCAGCCACAGGAACAGAGAGAGAGGAAGGGCGGCCGGGGGGGTCTCTGTGAAAAGAAAGAAAAGAGATGGGTCAGGAAAGCGAGGGATTCTTTGCGGATGGGGAACAGCTTCCCTTCCATGCTCTGAGCTCTTTGACATCAGCCACAGAACAGCACATGAAAGTTGGAAAGGAGCTCAGAGGCCTGGGAGGTGGCTGTGGCACAGTGGAATGAGCACTAGACAGAGATACCTGGGGAGGAGGATCTGGACTGCCAAAAACTGTACAAATGGTAGATTCTAGGTCAAACGTTTTGCTTTCTCCAGGCCTGTTTTCTCCTCTGTCAAATCAGGAGGCTCTATTAGAACCCTTCCAGGCCTGATAGTGTGACCACATTATGTCCTTTCTACTCTGCTAGCTGTCATGTTTACAGATGGGGGAAACCGAGGCTCAGGGAAGAGAAATCACATACTCTTCCTTTCAGGAACCCACTTTTTTTTTTTGCCCCTTTTGACTGTTCTGCCTGCACGTGTGGAAGATGTGAGACAGTCCCACAAATTTCCCCAGGGTGTTCCCCCAATCTTTCCCTCCCCTTGAAACCCCCCTCCCAGTGCTTCCTCAGACCACGCCTCGCCCGCTATGGCCACGCCCCCTCCCCTACAACTCCGCCCCCACTCAGACCCTGTCTCCTCTGGAATCCCCACAGTCCCCGCCCCCTTCTTAGGCCACGCCTCACGGGATACTCCCCTGGCCCCTCCCCCTCGTATCTTCTAGACCCCGCCTCTTCACTCCACACACCCCCCCACCACTACCCGACCCCACCCCCCTCTGGTCCTCCCACCATTGCACACCCAGCCCTCCCTTCTGGACTAGCCCTCCTCCCTCCCCCAGGCGCGCGTCCCCGCTTACCGGGCCGCGCGCCCCCGGGCCCCCCCGCCCCTCACTCAGCGGCCAGAGCCGCAGCCTGGGCCCCTCCCGCCGCCATCTTGCGCCGTCTCCCTCCTCCCTCCGCCCCCGGCCCGCCCCCTGTCCCGCAGACGTTAAGGGAGCCAGCCCATATTCCGCCGCCCTACTGGGACAGATTTCGCCGACTCTGCCACTTTCCCTTTAAGGAATAAATACCTCACTCCACTTTAAAGGTACCAGCTCAATTTCACCACAGCGCTTTCGAGTACCGTTTCAGCCGACTCGGTGTTTTTCCCTTTAAAACAGTAACGCTGTCTATCCCCATTTACTATAGGTTCAAGAACCAAGCAATCATCGCTTAGGCAAAAATGAAAGCAAATGAAATAAAGCTGAAATGAGAGCCCACTAGCCAATGGTAGCAATACAGAGGTGTCCGTACTACCATTGGCTAGTTGGCTCTCATTTCTGCTCCCTCCCTTTCACCCGCCTCCAGGCTGCGATTGCTTCTCTCAGAGAGGGTAAAGCCCCCTTGAGTCAAGTGTGGATTGGCTAAAAACACTTGAGCTTGGTGCTGGATTGGTCCTCTTATTCTTACGGCGCTACGCACAGGAGCAGGGGAAAGGAGGCCCGGCCGTAGGAAGTGTTTTCACTGCTGGCGGGCTAGCAGGGGTAGTGGAGCAGGATATGGAAAGTGTCAAGGTGTGGAGAACGAGATCATTGTGTGTAAAGATGTTACACAAAAGTAGAGAGAGAATTAGTTCTAGTCTGCAGGGCAAAGCATTCAATCAAGTAGGCAAAAGGCATTAGCTCCCCTTACACTGGGCTCTGGTGGGGGATACAAAGCCGAAAACGAAATATTCCCTTTTCGCAAGGAAATGAGTAGAAGAAAATCATGGGGTGGGTTTGAGAAAGGGGTGTGAGCTGCCCAGTGTCGAAGAAACTGGGAAGGAGATACATGAAAGATAGAAATGAGAAATATTACAGTACGAAAAGAACTTTATTTAGTTTCATTTTTATAAACCTTTAAAGTTTTTATTATTTTCAAAACACCAACAAAAAAGGTACAGCTCAGCTCCCCCCCCCACCAAAATAAAAACAAACAAAAACTTGGGAAGTGAGGGCTGGGAAAGCCAGACAGCTAGTCAGAGTCTGAGAGGATGATGATCTCTTCAGGGTCACACTGGGTTGCCACACTCATCTAGGGGAGGAAAAAGAATTGGGGAGAGGTTGGAAGAGACAGTCAAGATATGGGATATGGCTCTATCAAAGAATGACAGATTTAGATCTGAAAGTGGTCACTAAGTTCAAAGTTCCTCATTTTACAGATGAGAAAACATCTCAAAAGAGGAAGAGCAGACTGGCAAAATCAGAACAATGAAAACAGATGGTGGACAAAAAGGGCAAAAAAGATCAGCACCCTTCCCTAACCCCTATTTCTGACCTTGCAGGCTGCAGGCCTGGTAGCTTGTGGTCTAGGGGGCCTGGATGGTGGAGGGCTACATCTAGAGCTGGTGACCAAGCCATGGCTGGGCGAATCTGCTCGAGTGGAAGAGTCAGCAACTGGAACCAGGGAAGAAGCCAAGGGGGAGGGGACATTGGGGAAATGACACCTCTTCCCATTCTCTTGTTCATCTGCAGCTTGCACATCAATGCAGCTGGGGAAATAGAAACTGAGTAAGTATTAGTACTTCCTGAAAAAGCCCATTTCCCAAATCCCAGGTAGTTTATACTCTAAAGATCACTTCATGGCCAAGAAGCTCCCCCACTCCCACCCCATTCCTCTTATCCATGTTACCTGTGCCCAATTAGTTCTGCTTCTGTCATGTCTTCCTTCCGAGACTTCTTGAGGGGGGGACTAGGAACCCTCAGGGTGTTAGGAGAAACTCCACCATTGAAGGAAGTAGAGGTAACAGTGGCTGCCCCATTCTCCAGGAGGCTGGTGGGGAGGGGAGGTACTGGGCACTTCTTGGGAGAAGGGAGGTCCCTATCCTCAGGAGAAGGGACTGTGTCCAAAGGTAAGGCTTCAATCACCAACTCAAACAGTTGGGAGGCTGGGCTTTCAACATCTTGGGACAACTCTTCTGATGGGAGCTGTTCCCCACTGTCTTCATTCTCAAGGCAAGTGGGAACAGGTTTCTTCCTTTGAGGTAGGGAGTATGACCCTGACATTCCTGCTTCATCATCCTCCATTGAAGAGCTGCTGCTATTGCTCCCTTGTTCAGGCTCCAGCTCCTGCTCAGCAGTCCTCTGTGATGGAGACTGAGAAGCTACATATTTCTTACCTGGAAGTTGTAAAAAACAAACAGCAAGCAGAGTTGGTATGGAAAGTGTTTAATAGTAGGAAGAAAATGGGAGAGGAAGATGGGAAACTGAATATGGAGGAAGACAACTTGAGAATGGTACAAAAGTCCCACACGCTCACATAATACCTGGCTCATCTTCCTCCCCTAGGCCTTCCTGGCTCTCTTCCATCTCTTCCTCTGAATCTGTGAGCTCCTCATCTTCATCTTCTTCATCATCTTCTTCCTCTTCCTCTTCTTCATCATCATCTTCTTCTTCTTCATCTTCATCCTCATCTGTCTCAGTTTTGGAAGGGGGACAGAATGTGGACTTTTTCCCACTAGGGCCCTGCAAGAGAGGGAAGGCCTCTAATGAAACCATTCTCCCAAATCTTTATTCTCCTGAGTACTTCACCTCCCACAACTAGTTAACTCTCTTCCCTAGAGACACAGTATAAGACCTGGGCAGGATTCTGCCCTCCAGAAATATCTGATCTGACATGGGCATCCCCATACCTCTCCCAAGTCTGTGGATGCTGTTGGAAGGTCTTCATTGTGAGGAGAGTTTCCTTGGGAAAACCGGGCTTTCCTTCTCTGTCTCTCACCCTCTTCGCTCTCATCTTGCATCATTGCATATTTGGAGATCACTTCATCCAGCCGACTGAGAGCCAAGTTTCTGTTCTCCCGAAGCCTACGGGCCAGGACAGGGTCTGACAATGCAGGGTCAATGCCTGAGGTGGGAGGGAGGTATGCAGTGTGAAGGCATGGAACCAGAACTCCTAGCTTCAAAGCCTAAGGAGTAATACCCTCCCCACAGGTCTAGTGTGTATGGCCCCACTCCCTGTACCTGGCCTATAGTCATCTGTGAGGTGACAGCCAAAGTTGTAGACAAGGTCAAGATGGCGCCGCTCCTGTAACTTGGTGCCAACATCTCGAAAGGCATCCTGAGCAAGGAGCTGGAGCTGTCGCCTTGGGAGGCAGAGGCCATGTCTCGTGGCTGCCTTTTCCACAGCTCGAAGGACATCCCCGTAATCAGGAAAGGTGTCTGGGCCAGGCCTGTTGATGAGACGCTCCACACGGCGATTGACCTCCGGGTATCGAGTGCCCCGGTAGGGTATACGCTGCTCAGTCACACGGCCTGTCAGTGAACTACATGATTTTAACTCACATAGACGCCCAAAGAGTCCTAGCAGCTTACGTTTCAGCCGCCCCTCCTGCAAATATGCAGAGTCCGGGTCATCTAGCTCAGAGAGGTCCAGCTCCTTTTCCTGAAGTCGTTTTATCTCTCCCACATACAATGCCAGCAGCTGCTCTAAGCGCTGGATCTGTCTCCGTGAACCTCGGGGTCGTGGGGAGCCAGAAGCAGTTTCTTCATTTGGGGCAGGGTTAGAGGAAGGATTGGCAGGAGGTGCATCCCCAGGAGGTTCAGTGGAAGCAGGGGTCAGGGGCACTTTCCTCTTGATCGAGTGGGCTTTCAGCAATGTACAAAGCTCATTAATGAAGACATAGAGCTTGGTAGGCCGGGTTTGAGCACGGTAGAGGACACGAGAGAGAACATTTCGGAGCTCAGCTGAGGCCAGGAACGTAGGGCGAGCACGTTGCCTTCGGTTACAGAGGTACGGGACGACCTCAGGGTGTTCTCCAGTTTGCTTCTTACACAATTCAAGAAACTGGGTGGGGATGGGGGAAAGTGAAGGGAGAAGTCCAAGAGATTGGAGGAAAAGAGACAAGGGAGGTGGTTGAGAAAGAAAGAGAAAGATAGGGTTAGTAGGAGAAACTGATTAAGGACAGCTTCTTTGGCTCCCCCTCCCTGGGGCATAATAACCTTCTCCCCTGCAGCTCACCTCGTCAAACAGCTTCTCATTCTCCAGCTGGTAGCATTTCTTGCTGCCCCCACTACTGCTGCTGCCTTCCCCACTGGACTGGAGGGAATCAGAGGCTGCTGCCAGGGGTTGGGCCTGATTTGGGGGTGGATAGGAAGGCCCTGGCTGGGCAGCTGCTTCATCCTCATCATCATCATCCAGCACGATAATGCTGTTAGCGGCAGCCATGGGGGGAGCGAAGCCCCTGGTGGGGGTGTTGGGGATTTCAGGAATCCTGCTGGGGGGGGGGGGATGGGGCCTCAGAGACAGCCCCTCCAGGACATCCCCCCCCATTCTCACACCTTCCACCATCAGTCTCATGTCACTCAATCGATGCTGTTTCCCGCCCCCCTCTTACCATTTCCCACTCAAGGACTTATCTGTCTGACCTCCCCGTCATCTCAGAGTGGCCTGTCCTCTGAGAGAAGGCTTACTCCACAAGCTTTCTTGAAGGTCCCCAACCTCCTCCTCCCCACCCCAAAACTCTCAAGTCCCACCCACTTGGCTCCATTCCTCAGTCCTCTCCCCTCCACTTCCGGTCCCATCCTCTCTACTCCCAGCTACCAAGATCTTATCCTTTCTTAAGACATCAGTACCATCACGGCCACCAGCACGGCTGCTACCCCTGCCCTGCATACAATCCATCTCACACCCATTAAGGAACCAATTCCCTGTTCTCCACCCCCCTCTCTGTCTGCCTGTCTGTCCTCTCCCTTGCAGCTGTCAGCAGCACACGAGTCCCCAGGCTTTCCCTGAGCAAGGGACCCGCAGACACTTCCTCTTCTTCGCCTCCTCCCCACTTCTCCCTCTCCTCACGGTCCCCGCTCAAGGCCCCCTAGCCGGACCCCAGAAGCCCTTAGCTGAGCCCCGCCTCCCGCAGGGGTTTCCCTCCCCCAGCCCCCCATCGTCGCACTCGCACTCACACTCCCATACACTCACACACACACATACACACGCGCACGCGCTCGTGCGCGAGCACGCTCCCTCCTCAAGGGAGGGTCTCCGGCCGCCTTCCCCCTCTCCCCACCCCAGCCTTGTCACCGGGTCCTCCCCTCAGACTCTTCCCTCCTCCCGCCCGCCTCGTGCGGCCCCCACCTCAGAAACAGTCCCTACGCCGCGGCCGCCGCCTCCACCGTCGCTGTCCGTCCCTCCCCCCCTCCCCCTTACCCCCCGCTCCGTCACCCTCAGCTCTCCCTCTCCCTCACTCTCTCTCTCTCTCTCTCTCTCTCTCTCTCTCTCACTCACACACACACACACACACTCTCCGCCCCCCCCGCATCACCCAGCGCGCAGGAACGGAAGCGATCACGTCTCAGCCCCTCCCAAAACGTCCCTGGGCGCCGCCATCCTACCCTAATGGAGTAGGCCAGAGGGATATAGGAAGTGACGGCACACAAGCTACCTGCTCGGCCCTTCTATGGGAAACAGACGGCAAGTCGCCCGGGATTCTATTGGCCCACTCCGACCAAATGCTTCAGGTGGGAGGGCTTTTCTGAGGCCGGGGGACTCGGAAGTCCCTGAGGGGATGGGGGAGGCCATGTTGCCGTACGGCACCTGCCGTGACTGGGGGAACCTAATCTTACGGGGGCAAGGCAGCGAGGAATGTAAGTATCTCCGAGGATTTGCCAATCTGCGGTCACGAGGTGAAGCCCTTCTCTACCAATCAGAGGCCGGCGTCCCCTTTGCCCTTCCCCTAACGTTTGCCCAATAGCGTTCTCAAACTAGTATTGGCGGGTGGGAGGGTTCGGGGAGAGAGGCAGGGAGTTGAGCTTAGTGGAACGTTCGATCCATGGTGGGGAGGAACCGTCCATCCTATTGTAATATAAGGTGGGCTTTCCTGGGCCGCAAGAAGGATTGGGGCGGACTACGATGAGAAAGTTGTCTTTCAGTCTTATATTGATATCTGACCCCGGCTCCGCATTTGATGCGTGCCCCGACCACTCCGACCTTCCAGGCTGCCTCTCTGTCTCTAGCAGCCACCGAGAATCGGCCCTGGGGCTACGAGTTCTACTACACGAGATTATTTCTATACGTACGGAATGTGTGCACGTAAGTAATCATTCCCTCCACCAATCAGGAGAGTCTTATGTAAATAGTACCAGGCTCGAATCTTGGGGTCGCGGAACTGCAAAACGCCTACTCTATTAGCGTCAGTGCACTTAGAGGTCACCGTGGCAACCAAGTGACGGGAGAGCCGTCCCTCACACCCTACTCTGTGGTTTGCCTGCCGTACGGCAAGATGGCGGCCTCCAGGGCATGGGGAGGCACGCCCCTCTCGCCTTGCTGGGAATAGGGGAGGGGGTTCTCACCTCGGACTCTCTCCTCAGTCTGGGGGTCCCAGGGGCGGCCGCCCTGTGGGGAGTGGCCAGTTGGACCCTAGGACTTAGTGATGATGGGGGAGGTGAAGGGCGACCAGAGCCCTCGGCTGGAAATGAGGCTTTTAAAGGGCCAGACGCCTCTTTCTTCCTATGCGGAGTCGGGGTGGGGTGGGGTGGAGGGGCGGTTACGGCCGAGGAGGGGAGGGAGAGAAGAGGAAAGAAGCGGAGGCTGACGCTTCTCACTGATTCCAGCTTTATTGGAGGGAGAGGGAAGGCCAGGAAGAGTCACAGGGCTGGTCCTGGGGCACCAAAGGCGTCCCCTCCTACTGGGTATCTCGCCTCTTCCTTCAGGTTCCCTAGCAACGGGGGAGCCCAGGAATAGGATTCAGGAGACCTGGCTTCTAGTCCTGGTTCAGCACATAGTTTCCGTCAGGCAGCTTGGCCGACTATCTTCCCGTCTTCGGGACTTAGTTTCCTCCTTTATAAAATGGGAGGTGAACTAGGTCATCTAAGGAAGCTAGGCGTCGCAATGGACCGAATGCTGGGCCTGGAATCAGAAAACCTGAGTTCAGATCCTGCCCCAGACACTTATCAGCTGTGTGACCTTGGGCAGTTAAATCTCTGCTGGTCTCATTTCCTCCTCCTAAAAATAGGGATCATTATAGAACCTACTACCTCCCAGGGGGAATAATCAGCAACAAATGAGATCATACTTGGCCTTAAAGTGCTATATAAATACTAATTAATATTATCTAGCTTCCCATGAGGGGCCCCCAGCTGTTAGCAAAGACTAAAGGGCTCTTCCAATCCTTTGGAACCTCCCATGGCCCTCCCCCTCCTCCCACCCTCTCAGCTGAGAAACTTGTCTCCTATTTTGCAGAAGAGATTTGAGGCCATTCACTGTGGGCTCCCTCTTCTCTGGCACTCTGGTGCCTTCCACCACTCTCTACTCCTTTACCGCTGTCTCACATGATTCATCCCCATTCCAAGGAAACCTTAGTGCCTATCTTGTTGTCTTGGCATGTTTCTCACCTGAGTGGAGAGAGGAGGCATTCAGTGACTACAGCTCCAGTTCCTCTTCTTTTTGAGGTGTTCCAAGCAGCCAGCCCCAGAGGTTTGCCCAGGGTATTGGCCACAGCAACTTGTAGGCAGCCTCTAGCATCAGCACCGCCAGGAAGATGGCAAGAAAAATGAAAAAGGCCCTGTCTAGGGCCCGAAGAAAGGGACCCCTGGGAGGAGCAGGACCCTGGGCAAATGTCAAGAACACATCTTCCTCATTCCTGTCGCCCTCCTCCTCTGCCATCCTGCCTTGAAAGCCTAACAGCTGAGCAGATCAAGCTGGAGGTGATGGAGACACTGGCTCAGCACTAGTTGGATTAGTGGTAATTTAGAGGGGAAGCAGTTTTCTTGCTGCATGTGCCCTCTGTGACCTAATTCTCCAGAGACAGAAATAATGACTATAATGACAACATAGAGCCCTTTAAAGTTTTCAAAGTGATTTACATATATTAGTATGGAGGTCCCACACCATCCCATTAATGTAATCATAGAAGGAGTAGACTGTTAGATTGAATCATTCAAACTAGGTATATTAATCAATTTGAAAGAACTCTAGGACTGATCATTGGATGAAGACAGATAAATGACACCACACAGGAAAAACCTGTGTTTGAAGGAAAGAATAAAAATATACCTGGGATGCTAGTTGTAGAAGAGCTACAATCCTGAGGATTCAAGTTTGATCCAAGCCTGTAAGAGGGAATGGCTCTACCCTGTTGACCATGTTATTGTAAAGATGTTATTGGATCAATGGTAGAGAGTTCATCCAGCTGAGATCAGAGAGACTAGACCAGTAGCAGACAGTACACATAGCAGGGAGGCATCAAAGACCGTGAACCGTCATGGCAGAGAGAACTGACCAACTATGAATTCTGTAAGTCACTGACCCTCGGGGCCCAGCCAATGCTGCTGCACCTAAAGAGAACTTCATGAAGATTCTTTGAAGGGAGAACCAAACTACCACTAACCAGGAACCTTGAGTTACCCCTTTGCCATGTGTGCCTTACCACCTTTGTGCTTTACACTTATGCCCACTCTATCCATCATTCTTGTGTATTTTGGGGGGAGCATACCCAGAGTTGTAGGGTGGGGAGTGGAAGGGATTTTTTTCCCCAACTACCATTCTTCCCACTATACCTCCAGTCTATACCATCATAGTAAATACCTTTGTTAAAAATTAATTTTGGGGGCATTAGTTGATAATCAATGGGAAGCACATCAGTGGGAATTCCTGAGCTAGAAACTCGAGTCTTCACAGCTAACCCTCAAATCCTGAAAGTGCTAGACAGCTGCTCTCTGGGAACTCCTCTGGCCAATATAAGTGAGAATTGGGGAAATGGCCATAGAGGGAGTGTTGCCTATACATTTGAGCTTTGCCACAATTCTTTAAGATAGGCCCATTTTACAAATGAAGAAGTAAGGCTCAGAGAGCCTTATTATTATTGACTTGCTCACAGTTACACAGGTGCTGAGTATGACCAGGAACAAAAATTTTCCTGATTCCAAAGTCTGGCTGCATCTGTCATGCCTCCAGGAACTAAAGGCTTTTCATTCTGATATGCAAACAGCCCCAAATACCCTCCACTGACACTATGCTGACTGGGTTTCAGAGCCTGTCAGTAGTACTTGCTGGGGAAAATCCTTACTCTGGAGACTCAGATAGGCAACTGGAGCCCCTACACCACCCATCTTTCCTGCCATTATCTCAAAAACATCCACCAACTTCTAAATCAGAAGCCAGCCGAAAGAAGTCTGTGAGCAGAGGAGGCACTGAATCCTCTTCTTTTCTTTGTGTAAGTATAGGTGGTCCTGCAGACATAAATTTCTTCTTGAATTTGGGAATTCGAGGGTACTAGTTTTCATAGAAACAAACCTATGGAATGTCAGAGCTGGAAAAGACTTTAGCAATAATCTGGTATAAGAATCTCCCTCCCTTAAAAAAAAAAACTTAGGTTCACTGAGGGGGCGTGACTTGTTCACACAGTGAGTTTGTCAATTTATAAAATTGTTAATAATTTTGAAAAGTTATTTTGGGGGTAATTAAATTCAGGTATTCAGTAAATGAATACCTGATCTAAAATAGTTTATTCATTCTAAAGCCAATAGTAATACATCTTTTCTGTTTGGGGGGAGGAGGAAGGAGGAAAGAGACATTAGAAATTTAATTTTTAACTGTAGGGATACATGCACTAGTACAAGTAATCTTCCTCTCTGCCATAGCACCTTCTCTTTGGGGACACTGGAGGAAGAATGATGTGCATTAAAGTCCATGTGCCTCCCAGAGGGGTTGTAACTACTGTATGTACTGAGAAACTAAAACTGATTCCACTTTTTAATCCATTCTATTTTTATAATTCTATTTGTAGTTGATTTTATTCTGTATTTTACATAACTGCCCAAGACCGTTTCTTTGTCTCCAAACTGAGAAGTTAATAGGTTCAGAAGTTCAGTTTTCCTCTCTGAGCTAACTTGTCCTATAAATCACCTTAATTCAAAGAAATATATTCTCTCCACACATTTTACTGCCCAGGCACAATTAAAGGAGTCCTGTTATGGCCTAACAAGCCTTGTTAAGATGCAAATGGGCACCAGGAAGTCTGTTCCACCTTGTTCCACTAACAAGCCCTGCAGGATGTAGGTGGGCTCCATAAATCAGGAGTTGTTACTAGCCCCACATTTCTGATTTCCAGCCGATCATGTTGTCTCCCACATCTATGATGCTATCAATCATTATTTTCTTTAAGCTTTGTAACCAATCATAACTTGTTGCCCACCTATGAAGTCCTATTCTTTGGTCTGCGCTTCCCATAAAAACTGTAAAAAGTCTAGCTCACCTTACCTTCTGGTCTTAGCTTTTCTGAGGAAGCTTGGATGCTATTTATTGGTAAATTCTACTGATAAATAGATTGTACTCAGACCTTTGTGCCTCAGTTGACTTTAATTTCAACTGCAACAGCACAATCACAGTATATCCCACTTAGGTTGACCTCCAATCTGAGGCTGCTAATCCCAGGTCTCTTACACATGCAAAAATATAGGTTGCCAGCCTAGATTCTTCACATGCTCTAGAAAGCACTACGAACTTCCCTGGTGCCTGCTTGAGTTTAAAAAGAAAAATCATCAGTGTACAATATTTCATACATTTCTCAAAAATTGTCTCATGCCTCCATTTTCCATTCCTTCCCAAATTCTTGTGACCCAACCAAAAACACACTCAAATAATAGCTTAGGGCCCATTTACTGAATTAAATGAGAATATAAAAGGCAAGGTATCAAAACTCCTGGTTACGTTATAAACCCTTTATTCCCTCCTCCGTGTCATCAAGTGGAGATATTGCCTGTGACCTAAGTGAACTTTTAAGAGAGCACATTCTTGGATGTTATTTTCAGAGTAAAAGGAAGAAAGGGTGAAAATCTCCCATCACTTCCTGGTCACCATTTCCAAATCATGCCACCATACATTGCACTGCCCTCCCTTCTTTTGTTGTTGTTCAGTCATTTCAGTCCTGTCCGACTCTTTGTGACTGAATTTGGGCTTTTCTTGGCAAAGATACTGGAGTGGTTTGCATTTCCTTCTTCAGTTCATTTTATATATATGAGGAACTGAGGCTAATGGGGTTACATTATTTGCCCAGGGTCGAGCAGCTGTTGGATTTGAACTCGGGAAGACAAGCCTTCCTAATTCCAGGCCCAGCAGTCTATCCACTGTGCTACCAAGCTGATCTCTTCACTGCCTTGTAGCTCTTCTTTATGTGTTGTTTCTCCTCTTTTAGGGAAAGGACTGTCTTGCTTGCTTGCATCTGTATCCCCAGCACTTAGAAAAGTGTATGGCTGATATCAAGCACTTAATAAATGCTTTCTCTGTCAGTCTGTCTGTCTATCTATCTATCTATCTATCTATCTATCTATCTATCTATCTATCTATTGTTTCACTGACCTTAACCCAAATTCCTATAAAGATGGCCCTTATTTCTCATTTAATCACCAAATGAACATCCTCTACTTTTGATGGTCACCAGAAGGTCTTTCTAAATTTTTCTCTGTCACCATAACTTTCAGCATAGGTCCAGGGCCCCTCCAAACTCACATGACAACCCCTCTGTCCATGATGCGTCTCTCAAGCACGCAGTGCATATTTTGTTCTACTCATTGTTGATCTGTGTCTTCTAGCGTCTTCCTACTTCTGGCTTCTTTGGGAGAAGGTTGTGGAAGAAGGAACACAACTGAGAGAAGAACTTAAGATGAATTAGAAGAAAAATGAAATTTTTTAGGTGACTTGCAAGTGTTTGGATTAGCGAAGAAAGTTAGAGGTTGAATCTGAAGAGGAGAAAATTCAAAGACATTGAGAAAAATTTGAAGAACCATCTCCAGGCCCAGAGAATGGTCCAGACTTTGCTTCTAGGTTGAAAGATAATTAGCTTTAAAGATAATTAATGAGGATATAAAAGGATTAATGAGGATTAGTGAGTTGAGCCTAAAGAGGTAAATTCAAAAAGGAAAGAAGAAGGTCTTTGGCTAGGTGAGGTAAGTGAGAAAAGGTAAGTAGAACAACTAGAGTGTAAAGCATTTAATAAAGTAGCTTGGTGAGTGTGTTAAATTGTGGAAATAGGAGGTTGACAAAAGTCTAACGAGGAGGTGGATGTGGTTGTAGAATTTTTGAGACTGGGAAAATGAAGTTGATCCAGGTGTGATGGTATATAACCATAATTGCTGCTACTGGGAAAGCTGAGTGAAGCTAATGAATCAGTTGAGCTTAGGAATTCTGAGTTGAAGTGGGGCTAGAGCCAATGGGGTATCCACATTAAGTCCAGCAATAATTTGATTAGCCCCTTCAGAGGGGCTAAGGAAGTCAAACTGATCTAGGTCTTTAATGGAGCAGATCAAAGCTTCTGTGAAAGTCAGCATTGGGGATCAAACCTGTGAGTGTCCACTATGTTTCCAACTGTGGCAGGTAAAAGATGAAGTGAAATAGGGATCAAGGGCAGGAATCAGACCTTAGGGCTTAATCTTTCTTGAAAAAGTTCCTCGATTAAGAAAAATAATGGGAGACAGCTAGGTGGTACAGTGGATAGAGCAGAAGGCCTGGAGTCAGGAAGACCTGAGTTCAAGTCTAGCTTCAGACACTTACTAGCTGTGTGATCCTGGGCAAGTCATTTAACCCTGTTTGCCTCAGTTCCTCATATGTAGAAGGAAATGGCAAACTATTTCAGTATCCTTGACAAAAAAAAAACACCCAAATAGAGTCATGAAGAATCAGACACGACTGAACAACAACAAAAATAACTGGAGATTTTGAGGGAGTTTCTCTGGAAGGCTTTTGGTCGGGATCTCAGTCCCAACTTGCCAAAAACTGGCGAAAGATGAAATGACTGAGGACTTCAATTCTCAGACAACCTGGGTGACATAGGGAAAACCAGTCTCTAAAAACATATTTGAATGGGATTGGCAAGTTATTAAGAAGTGATAATTGGCTGTAAAAGTTTTAACCATGTGCCTAGGGTTGAGGTTTAAATATTGATAAGTATCTTTTAAAAAAAACAAGACTGAAAAATCTCAACCATTTAGAGTGGGAGAAATTGTTTGGTGACTTGCTTTGAGTGTGAGATGTTTATATTTTTGCAAACAGAATGACTGTTTTCAGTTGTTTTTCAGTAGTGTTGGACTTTATCATCATCATAGATTATAGGAGTCTAACTAAACAAAAGGCCTAAGAGTGATCCTGTTATGTTTTTATGATCCTAAAAGAAGAATGGAAAGGGCAGGGAAGAGTAATACACTGGGGTGGGGGGGGGAGTGAGAGAAGAATTACAAAAGTTATCTTGCATGAATATGGTGTGTAAGTAGTGTAAGGTCTATACAAAAAGAGCAGGGAGTTATCAGGGGAGGAGGTGAAGGGGAGGGACTCAAGTGGGCAACACTTGAACTTTATCTTATCTGAACTCCTCAAAGGAGGGAACAATATGTACGTGCACAGTTGGGTACAGAAATACATGGGGTTTTCTTGTCAGAAATACTGGAGTGGTTTGCCCTTTCTCCAGCTCACTTTACAGATGAGAAAACTAAAGATGGGCGACTTACCCCCAGTCACACAACTAGTAAATGTCTGAGGCCAGATTTGAACTCGGGAAATTGAGTCTTCCTGACTTCAGGCCTAGTGCTCTATCCACTGTGCTGCCTAGCTGCCCAGAATGACTGTTTCCTCTGTTCTAAATGTAGAGACCCACCACATAGAAGAGAAAGTGAAGGAACTAGAGCGTGCCTCTCCATACTCCAGGTTGATAGAGAGAATGAAGTGTTCCTAAAGGAAACAGAAGGGAAACTTCGATGGGGAACATAAAAAAAGAACTATGAGATAGAGGGTACACTTGGCTCATGTTGGAGAGTAGAAAAGTATTACACAGGGGGGAAAGGGAAGAAAAGGAACAGCTATATAATGAAATCTTTTTAGCATGGGTTGGATTGGAAATCACTTCAGTACTGAAGGATGACGAAGCAATCCTTTAATTGGACCCTGATCATGAAGAGCTGCTGAGTCAGTGGGTCCTTAAAAGGGAGTGATCCTCCCTTGGTCTCTCTCTTCCAATTTGCTGTGAATAGTAGGAGTCTTCAAGCTTCTCTGGAGGGGTGAGTACAGGACTGGTGCCCTTCCCCTACCTAGGCAGAAATGGCAAGCTGTGAGCACATGGCAGCTAAAGCCAAGTTTAAGGAAAAGCATTTATTAAGTGACTACTATATACCAAGGGGCAGCTAGGTGGTTCAGTGGGTAGAGCACTGGGACTGGAGTCAG